GCTCACACCCAAAAAAGCCTATGAAAAAGCCAATGAAAGGTACCAGGGGTCTCTCATGGGTCCCCCTACTGACCCCGGCCCTCGAGTGCTCGAATAGTCAGTCCGCCCCTGCTCCATAGAAAATGTCGTTAAAGAGGAACTCCACCCTTACTATCAAAAATACACTTATTAAATCTGTTTAAATCTCTATGTAAAAATACAGGCGTACCTCGGTTTAAGAATTTAATGCGCTCCGCTGGACTTTTCGTATTGCAAAAAATTTGTAAATCGAAATGTGGTTTCCCATAGGGATGCACTGAAAACCAATTAATCCGTTCTGGAGGTCAGAAAAAAGTAAAAAGTCTTTTATCTGTTCAAAACTCTTTATACAGTGAACTTTAAAGGCATAAATACTGCACAGGGACATGATTAAAAATGAATTTGTAAATGCATTGAAAACCAATTAATCCATTCCGGAGGTCAGAAAAATGTCAAAAAAAGTGTTACATAGTTAGTCTGGCTGAAAAAAGACAAAAGTCCATCCAGTTCAACCATAGGAAAAAAAAAAAGTTTATAATCCTATACCCACAGTTAATCCAGAGGAAGGCAAAAAAAACAGCAAAGCATTTTATCTGTTCAAAACTCTCTATAAAGTGCACTTTAAAGGCATAAATACTGTACAGCGACATGATTATTATTATTATACAGTATTTATAAAGCGCCGATAGTTCGCTCAGCGCTGTACATTACAAAGGGGGACAGAACATGTGACAGAACAATAAAATGCAAAACATGAGGGGATTGAGCGCCCTGCTCTTTCGAGCTTACAATCTAGGAGGGGGGGGGGGATGGTGGCACAGGAGGAGAAAGCTGTGGGGGATGGAGTGGTAGGAAGGGTGGAGGAGGTCGGCAAGTTAGCAGGGGGTGGGGTAGGCTTCCCTGAAGAGATGGGTTTTCAGGGTGCGCCTAAAGGAGAGGAGAATAGGTGATAATCTGATGGGTTGGGGCAGGGAGTTCCAGAGGATGGGAGACACCCTGGAGAAGTCCTGGAGGCGGGCATGGGAGGAGGAGACCAGGGAACTAGAGAGCAGGAGGTCTTGTGAGGAGCGGAGTGGCGTGCTGGGTGGTACTTTATTGTATATTAGACAATTCGTAAATGCATTGAAAACCAATTAATCCGTTCCGGATGTCAGAAAAAAGTAAAAAAAGTTTTATCTGTTCAAAACTCTTTATAAAGTGCACTTTAAAGGCATAAAGAGACATGATTGAAAAGAAATTTGTAAATGCATTGAAAACCAATTAATCCGTTCCGGAGCGCAGAAAAAAGTAAAAAAAAGTATTTTATCTGTTCAAAACTCTTTATAAAGTACACTTTAAAGGCATAAATACTGTACGGGGACATGATTAAAAAAAAAATTCGTAAAACCAATTAATCCATTCTGGAGGTCAGAAAAAAGTAAAAAAAAGTATTTTATCTGTTCTAAACTTTTTATAAAGTACACTTTAAAAGGAATAAAGAGGCATGATTAAAAAAATTTTTTGTAAATGCATTGAAAACCAATTAATCTGTTCCGGAGGTAAAAAAAAAGGCTTTTATCTGTTCAAAACTCTTTATAAAGTGCAGTTTAAAGGCATAAATACTGTACAAGCACATGATTAAAAATTATTTGGAAATGCATTGAAAACCATTTAATCCTTTCCGGAGGTCAGAAAAAAGTAAAAAAAGTTTTATCTATTCAAAACTCTTTATAATGTGCACTTTAAAGGCATAAAGAGACATGATCAAAAAAAAAAATTGTAAATGCATTGAAAACCAATTAATCCATTCCGGAGGTCAGGAAAAGGTCTCATCTGTTCAAAACTCTTTATAAAGTGCACTTTAAAGGCATAGTACTGTACAGGGACATGATTAAAAAAAATTTGTAAATGCATTGAAAACCACTTAATCCGTATTGCGAAAAAAAATTTGTAAACTGAGGCATTATTGTCAATGGATTTTCATTCGTAAACCAAAAATTATGTTAACCGAGGCGTTCGTAAACCGAGGTATGCTTGTAAAAAAAAAAATGATTTACTAGTCCATGGAGTCCATTGTTGTCTTGCTTGTTGGGAAAGTTCTCCCTGCTAGGGCTGGGACAAGGAGTGGGGAGGAGGGACAGCTGCCCCAGGGCGCAGTAAAGCAAGAAGGCAAAGAATAGATGTAGGGTGGTACACCTATCCTTTGGTGTGTATTAACTGTGGGGGAGGGGGGTGCAGTTCTAGATCCTTGCCTTGGGATCTGGACGGCCCTGACCCAGTACTGTTCCCTACACTGATTCTTTCCAGCACTGCCATCTTGAGATCTTTGCCAGGGCCTGGCAGATGCTGCTGAGTGTCTGCACCTGTACCGGACCCCCTGAGCATGCACCACAGACCCCTGACAGTAAACTGGCAGACATCCCGCTCCGTTTCTGCACATGTGCAGCATCCTGCAATCTGCACCCTGGGATGAGTGATATGGAAATCTCAGGAGGCAGCCTGCAGGACCACACGCATGCGCAGAAATGCCACAACAAATTCTGCCGTGATCCCTAGGGGGTTTCTGAGCGTGTGCAGGTTTCATCTTTCATCATCCTTGCCTAGGTGGGAATGATGGACCTCAACTTAAAAAAAAAAAAATAAAAAATCTTTTACAATTCTGTTATAGGGAGGGGGAGGTGGCAGGGGAGAGCAACATTTAATATTTAATACAAATATGCAGGTTTTCTTCCCTGCAAAAAAAATGGATGTTAACAAATGTGGACATTAACCCCTTACAATCCCATACAAGCGCTAACATGTTAATCCCCCTCCCCCCCCTCAAGTATATATGCTCAAAAAAATTAAAGGAACACATTTTAAACCACTCGCCCTCCAGATGATTCCCCCCCCCCCTTCCTGATAAAGCCATTTTTTGTGTTACAGCGCTGCATTACTTTAACTGACAATTGCGCGGTCATGCAACGCTGCACCCAAGTGAAGTTGGAGCTTTCTTTTGGTGGTTTTTGATCGCCTGTGCGGTTTTTTTTATTTTTTTTGCGCTTTACAAAAAAAGACCGACAATTTTGAGATAAAAACAACATTTGTGACTTTTTGCTATTAAACATGTCCAGTAAAAAAAATCAAAAAAATCAAATTTCATCAGAAATTTAGGCCAAAAATGTATTTTGCGACATGTCTTTGCTAAAAAAAAAAAAAAATCCAAATACGCGTAAATTAATATTATTATTATTATACAGGATTTATATAGCGCCAACAGTTTGCTCAGCGCTTTACAAAGAAATGATAATAATAATTAATTGGTTTACGTGAAACATAGCATTTACAAATGGCGATATATATATATATTTATACAGTGGGGCAAAAAAGTATTTAGTCAGCCACCAATTGTGCAAGTTCTCCCACTTACAAAGATGAGAGAGGCCTGTAATTGGCATCATAGGTAGACCTCAACTATGAGAGACAAAATGAGAAAACAAATCCAGACAATCACATTGGCTGATTTGGAAAGAATTTATTTGCAAATTATGGTGGAAAATAAGTATTTGGTCAATATGAAAAGTTCATCTCAATACTTTGTTATATATCCTTTGTTGGCAATGACAGAGGTCAGACGTTTCCTGTAAGTCTTCACAAGGTTGGCACACACTGTTGCTGGTATGTTGGCCCATCCTACATGCAGATCTCCTCTAGAGCAGTGATGTTTTGGGGCTGTCGCTGGGCAACACGGACTTTCAACTCCCTCCAAAGGTTTTCTATGGGGTTGAGATCTGGAGACTGGCTAGGCCACTCCAGGACCTTGAAATGCTTCTTATGAAGCCACTCCTTCGTTGCCCAGGCGGTATGTTTGGGATCATTGTCATGTTGGAAGACCCAGCCACGTTTCATCTTCAATGCCCTTGCTGATGGAAGGAGGTTTGCACTCAAAATCTCACGATACATGGCCCCATTCATTCTGTCCTGTACATGGATCAGTCTTCCTGGTCCCTTTGCGGAGAAACAGCCCCAAAGCATGATGTTGCCACCCCCATGCTTCACAGTAGGTATGGTGTTCTTTGGATGCAACTCAGCATTCTCTCTCCTCCAAACACGACGAGTTGTGTTTCTACCAAACAGTTCTATTTTGGTTTCATCTGACCATATGACATTCTCCCAATCCTCTTCTGGATCATCAAATGCTCTCTAGCAAACTTCAGACGGCCCGGACATGTACTGGCTTAAGCAGGGGGACACGTCTGGCACTGCAGGATCTGAGTCCCTGGCGGCGTAGTGTGTTACTGATGGTAGCCTTTGTTACGTTGGTCCCAGCTCTCTGCAGGTCATTCACTAGGTCCCCCCGTGTGGTCCTGGGATTTTTGCTCACCGTTCTTGTGATCATTTTGACCCCACGGGGTGAGATCTTGCGTGGAGCCCCAGATCGAGGGAGATTATCAGTGGTCTTGTATGTCTTCCATTTTCTAATTATTGCTCCCACAGTGATTTGTTCACACCAAGCTGCTTGCCTATTGCAGATTCAGTCTTCCCAGCCTGGTGCAGGTCTACAATTTTGTTTCTGGTGTCCTTCGACAGCTCTTTAGTCTTCACCATAGTGGAGTTTGGAGTGTGACTGTTTGAGGTTGTGGACAGGTGTCTTTTATACTGATAACAAGTTCAAACAGGTGCCATTGATACAGGTAATGAGTGCAGGACAGAGGAGCCTCTTAAAGAAGAAGGTACAGGTCTGTGAGAGCCAGAAATCTTGCTTGTTTGTAGGTGACCAAATACTTATTTTCCACCATAATTTGCAAATAAATTCTTTCCAGATCAGCCAATGTGATTGTCTGGATTTTTTTTCTCATTTTGTCTCTCATAGTTGAGGTCTCCCTATGATGCCAATTACAGGCCTCTCTCATCTTTTTAAGTGGCAGAACTTGCACAATTGGTGGTGACAATACTTTTTTGCCCCACTGTATATATATATAGGGGATTTTTTTTTTGTATTTTTACAATTAAAGGGCGGCGACTTATAACGGGACTGTGGAGGGGCGTTCTGGCACTGGGCGGGGGACACTGACTTGGTGTCACTAACATCCCCAGTGACACCAATACAGTGATCAGTGCTAATAAAAAGCACTGACACTGTACTAATGGCACTGGGCAGGGAGGGGTTAATATCAGGGGCGATCAAAGGGTTAACGGTGTGCTGTTTTACTATGAGGCTGTGTGTGTTTCACTGTAAGCACTCTGCTATGCACAGCCATACAAAGCAGTGTGCAGGAGCTGATAGGGGAGAGATCTGTATTGTTGACTTGCAGTTCTCTCCCTCCGCCGGTAATACTCCTCGATCACCGCGTGCCAGCGAGTAATCACTGACCGGAACCCAGTGATTGACAGCCGAGGCAGCGAATAGCAGCGCGGGTAGGGCGTGCGAGCGGCCCGTGCACGCCCTCTACCCAGAAATGCAAAATCACATATATATATATATACACGTGATTTTGCACAACCTGCCGCCCTGTAGCAGTATATCTGCTATAGGGCGGCAGGAAAGCAGTTAATGGATGTAAACAAATGATCATACGTTTACATCCGCTAGTCCATAGAAATACATGGGTGTCCGTTTATCATCTGTAGATGGACAGCTGAAGAACAGAGCCGTGTGAAAGGGGCCTTAGAAATAATGCAAATCTGCCGGAACACTTGCAGCTTCCTCATTAGCACCGGGTGGTGACAACGCTTTCCAAACAGAGGGGAAGAAAGGAACCGCATGGATCCAGCGAGGTACGCCACTTTATACATGAAAACATTTTGTGGTAAATTTGCCGCAGCGCAAAGAATCATGAATGCAGAATGTGAACAGTCCCTTCCCGCTGTATAGTAGATATTAGGTGGGTGGTCAGGGGGTAGTAAAAACGATCTATTTTTACCACCCCCATCAGCCACCCATACGAAAAAGGCTGAACAGGCATTTCACACGGTTACAGTGTTGCATTATGTCCCCCAGGTTTGGTGCGCTCTCTGAAAACTGCTGCATGCTGCCACCATACTGGCATCCTTGTTGCTCCATGTCAGTGGTTGGTGGTCAGTATGGGGGCCACAAGTGTGACCCTCAACATCACCAAAGGGCCACAAATACAATTCAGTGAATATTCAGTCTCAGAGACAGCAGACACACAGCAAGATATTATATCTACACTCTCTGACCATCTCCTGTCATATGTCTGCAGTCTCTGACCATCTCCTGTCATATGTCTGCAGTCTCTGACCATCTCCTGTCATATGTCTGCAGTCTCTGACCATCTCTTGTATCATGTCTGTAGTCTCTGACCATCTCTTGTATCATGTCTGCAGTCTCTGACCATCTCTTGTATCATGTCTGCAGTCTCTGACCATCTCCTGTATCATGTCTGCAGTCTCTGACCATCTCCTGTATCATGTCTGCAGTCTCTGACCATCTCCTGTATCATGTCTGCAGTCTCTGACCATCTCTTGTATCATGTTTGCAGTCTCTGACCATCTCCTGTATCATGTCTGCTGTCTCCGACCATCTCCTGTATCATGTCTGCAGTCTTTGACCATTTCTTGTATCATGTCTGCAATCTCTGCCAATCTCTTGTATCATGTCTGCAGTCTCTGACCATCTTTTGTATCATGTCTGCAGTCTCTGACCATCTCTTGTATCATGTCTGCAGTCTCTGACCATCTCTTGTATCATGTCCACAGTCTATGACCATCTCTTGTACCATATGCATTCTGTGATACAGGAGATGGTCAGACACTGCGGACACGGTACATGAGATGGTCAGAGACTGCAGACATGAAACAGGAGATGGTCAGAGACTGTGGATATGGTACAGGAGAAGGTCAGAGAGCGGGGGCATGGCACAGGGGATGGTCAGAGGGCGGGGGCATGGCACAGGGATGGTCAGAGGGCGCGGACATGGCACAGGGGATGGTCAGAGATTGCGAACATGGCACACGGGATGGTCAGAGGGCGGGGACATGGCGCAGGGGATGGTCAGAGGGCGGGGACATGGCACCGGAGAAGGTCAGAGATTGCGGACATAGCACCGGGGATGGTCAGAGGGCGGGGACATGGCGCAGGGGATGGTCAGAGGGCGGGGACATGGCACAAGGGATGGTCAGAGGGCGGGGACATGGCGCAGCGGATGGTCAGAGGGCGGGGACACGGCACAGGGGATGGTCAGAGAGTGGGGACATGGCACCGGAGAAGGTCAGAGATTGCGGACATAGCACCGGGGATGGTCAGAGGGCGGGGACATGGCGCAGGGGATGGTCAGAGGGCGGGGACATGGCACCGGAGAAGGTCAGAGATTGCGGACATAGCACCGGGGATGGTCAGAGGGGGGGGGACATGGCGCAGGGGATGGTCAGAGGGCGGGGACATGGCACAAGGGATGGTCAGAGGGCGGGGACATGGCGCAGCGGATGGTCAGAGGGTGGGGACACGGCACAGGGGATGGTCAGAGAGTGGGGACATGGCACCGGAGAAGGTCAGAGATTGCGGACATAGCACCGGGGATGGTCAGAGGGCGGGGACATGGCGCAGGGGATGGTCAGAGGGCGGGGACATGGCACAAGGGATGGTCAGAGGGCGGGGACATGGCGCAGCGGATGGTCAGAGGGCGGGGACATGACGCAGTGGATGGTCAGAGGGCAGGGACACGGCACAGGGGATGGTCAGAGGGCGGGGACATGGCACCGGAGAAGGTCAGAGATTGCGGACATAGCACCGGGGATGGTCAGAGGGCGGGGACATGGCACAGGGGATGGTCAGAGGGCGGGGACATGGCGCAGCGGATGGTCAGAGGGCAGGGACACGGCACAGGGGATGGTCAGAGAGTGGGGACATGGCGCAGCGGATGGTCAGAGGGCAGGGACACGGCACAGGGGATGGTCAGAGGGCGGGGACACGGCACAAGGGATGGTCAGAGGGCAGGGACACGGCACAAGGGATGGTCAGAGGGCAGGGACACGGCACAGGGGATGGTCAGAGGGCGGGGACACGGCACAAGGGATGGTCAGAGGGCGGGGACACGGCACAGGGGATGGTCAGAGGGGCGGGGACACGGCACAGGGGATGGTCAGAGGGCGGGGACATGGCGCAGCGGATGGTCAGAGGGCAGGGACACGGCACAGGGGATGGTCAGAGAGTGGGGACATGGTACAAGAGACTGCTAGAGATCACTGCTATAACAAGGCAATATAAAAAACACAGATTAGTGTCGGTACGGGCCCTGGGGGCCTCACAAAGTGCCAGAGGGCCATGTGTTGGGCACTGGGGGTCTGTACACCTCATTCCCCAGGACCACACATTCCAGGGCGGTCCCATCCATGATCTCTTTCCTATAGATAACATTGGCAGTAGGCCTCATTTGCACCAGCCATACACGGGAGAGGTGACAACCCCTGACACCTTGCACATTGTCTGCTGAGACTTGTACAGGACTATCAGGGCCTGTGCACACAGGGGCCAGCCTCATCCTTGCCATTGTGACCTTGTCCCCTCTCCACACTCGTTCTGTCACCTCATGTCATGGCCAGAGGTAGATCTATTTATTGGTGAGGGGGTTGGGCGGGAGCTCCTGGCTGTCCTCCTCCCCTCCCCCCATGTGTCTCCCTCATGTCACTGACAGGCAGCACAACACACAGCGCACAATGCGGCCGCGGGACATGCCGGGAATTGTAGTCCCGAGCTCCGCCCACAGCCACTGCGCGCACCTCTCCCCCTCCTACGACTCCCGTCGGCCCTCGCGCGCCCATGTCCCGGATGTCCCTGGCGCCGGAAGAGAAGACAACCTCTTTCCCGGCCATCTTTCAAGCGAGCTGCGCGCTCCGGGCCCTCGCCGTAATCCGAGGACATCCGCCAGGACAGGGGCCACAATGCCCGGGCATCTGCAAGAAGGCTTCGGCTGCGTCGTCACCAACCGTTTCGACCAGCTCTTCGATGACGAATCCGACCCGTTCGAGGTGCTGAAGGCGGCCGAGAACAAGAAGAAGGAGGCGGGGGGAGCTCAGGCCAAGACCGCCGCCCAGGCCGCCAAACAGCCCAAGAAGGAGTCCCAGAAGGACCGCAGGAACCCCCTGCCAGAGAAGAAGGAGGAGGCCGCGCCGCCTGTGGCCCTCAAGAAGGAAGGTGAGGGGGAGGAGAGGCCCGCCTCGTGCGGGGGGCCACAGGGAGCAGGGGCCCCGGGCTGTGTTAGAGCCAGAGAGGGGGGGGGGGCCTTCCTTACTCTTCACCCCTTTGTGCTGGGGCCCCTGGCACTGTCCCGGGGGCCCTTACCCCTGCTGCATGTGTGTCCCCTCAACCCAGGGGTCCCCATGAGTCCTGGCTGCAGGCTGAGGGCCACACTTCTACACCACGTGCACCTCCTGAGTGTAGCTGCATCCCTGTGTGCTGTCCATGTAGGGGCCCCTCGGAAAGCTGGGCTGTCCACGACGGGGCCCCTCATGAAAGGCTGGGCTGTCCACGACGGGGCCCCCCATGAGAGGCTGTGCTGTCCACGACGGGGCCCTTCATGAGAGGCTGTGCTGTCCACGACGGGGCCCCCCATGAGAGGCTGTGCTGTCCACGACGGGGCCCCCCATGAGAGGCTGTGCTGTCCACGACGGGGCCCCCCATGAGAGGGCTGGGCTGTCCACGACGGGGCCCCCCATGAGAGGCTGGGCTGTCCACGACGGGGCCCCCCATGAGAGGCTGGGCTGTCCACGACGGGGCCCCCCATGAGAGGCTGGGGCTGTCCACGACGGGGCCCCCCATGAGAGGCTGGGCTGTCCACGACGGGGCCCCCCCTGCAAGGCCAGCTAATACTCCACAGCTTACATGACTTCCTGTATAGGAGATCACCTGGTACTGGTGTGCCCCTCTGATTGTAGCTGCCCCCCTGTGTGCTATGGCCATGATGGGGCCCCTGGAAGCTCTGCTTACACTTAATCGCCCGGAGGGCTTCCTAGATAAAATGATACAAATATCCGATGGTACTAGTGTGCCCCTCTGAATGTAGCTGCACTTTTGTGATCCCTCTCAATGGCAGGACCCTTGTCATCTCTGCTCAGACCCTCTGGCTTGGAGGGCTTCCTATAAAATCCATTACATGTCAGTGTGCCCCTCTGAACAAAGACGCACCTCCGTCTCCATGGTGGGGCCCTGTAAGCTCTGCTCACCCTATGGGTTGGAGGACTTCCTGGATCAGAGATCATGTGCACTGCTGTGGGCCGGCTCCATGTCGGGGCACCTGTAAGCTCTCCCCCTCAGTGGCTTAGATGCCTGCTACACCATTGGTGTCAGTGTGCCTCTCTGAGTATAGCGCCACCTCTGGCTGCTCTGCGAACATTCACAGACATGCTGCCCAGAGATCACTTTGTGCAAGTGTGCCCCTCTGAACATAGCTGCACCTGTGCCAGCCATCTCCATGATGGGGGGGCACCGAAGCTTTGGGTGTGAACATAACTCTGTGCCCCCCCCCCCCCCCCCCCCCATTATGGAGATGGCTGACACAGGTGCAGCTATGTTCAGAGGGGCACACTGACACCATTTCATCTTATAGTAAGCACTTCGAAGCTTTGAGTGTGAACATAACTAAGTGCTTACTATAAGATGAACTGGTGTCAGTGTGCCCCTCTGAATATAGCTGCACCTGTGTCAGCCATCTCCATAATATTGGGGGGGGGGGGCACAGAGTTATGGTCTCAAAGTGCCTACTATAAGATGAACTGGTGTCAGTGTGCCCCTCTGAATATAGCTGCACCTATGTTCTGCTCAAACATCACAGTGGAACTGAACTGCATCTGAGCACCACAAACCAAAATGCTATTTAATATTCAAAGCAATCTCCCCCCCGATCCATGTCTCAATGCTTTATTTTGCTGAGAAATCACTCTGAAAAAACCCCCCCCCCCCCCCCCTTTAGCATTTCTGGCCGTAGCCATCTTAAGTAAGGGCGAATGATTCATGTAGCATTTACTTCCTGGAATCCATCTGCCCTTAACTTGTGCATGCAGGCTGGAGGGTGTGCTTAACTGAGAGAACCCTGAAGACTCCTGGGATGTATGACGACATTTGCCTAGGCCAGAAACCAGGAAGTAACTGAAAACAACATTAAAAGGAAAAAATTAAAACATGATATACTTTTCTATCTAATTGGTAATCCTAGAGACACAAGGACTAAAAATTGTTTGTTCATAGAGGGAAGTTCCACTTCAAGGTTTGGAGGTCATCTAGTGTCGGCGTGCCCCTCTGATTGTGGCTGCTGCACTTTATTTTGTTTCTGTAGCAGCCATCGTGACCCCGTAGTTAGTGCAGTGCCTGGGCCCGTCTGAATGTTAATATAGGTTGCCCCTTTCTTGTCACCATATTTATGGTCCCTTCGATGTGTTTTGGGGGAATATTGAATACAGATGTACACTCTTTACCGTGTCACCATCCGGAGGGCTCTGTCACTTGTACTCATGCTTTGGGGGAGGGGCATAACTAATTAGGGATGCACCAAAATTTCAGTGGCAGAAACGTTTCGGCTGAGAACACCCGTATCGGCTTTGGCAGATATGTAAATAAGCACCGATACAGGTGGCGAAAATAATCCCGCCCCTCGCTGCCACCCGCCGCCGCCTGGTGGTTCTCAGCCTTACCCAAGAAACCACCGAACGATCCCGGCGCTGGGCATAGACAAGTGAAGGAAAGATGGCCTCCACTCATCTCTATGCCCTTGGAGGACCGGAGTGACATCACTTCCGGTGCCTTGTAAACAAGGGCCTTTTTTTTTTTAAGCACTAGATCAATGTTTTTTTTTTTGTTTTTTTTATTCTACGCTTTACATTGTAGAGGAGAGATGTGGGGCCTAATTGACCCCATATCTCCATAAAGAGGACCTGTCGCTAATTATTTCTATCAAAGGGGATGCATGCATTCCTTGTGACAGGAATAAAAGTGATTATAATTTTTTTTTTTTTAAAGGGACAGTGTTAAAAGAAAATAGGAGAAAAAAGTTTTTAAAGTGCCCCCATCCCCCATGTAGTGGTGAACGCATACGTAGGCCACGCCCACATATGTAAACGGCGTTCAAACCACACACAAGGTATCGCCACAAATGCAAGAGCAATAATTCTCGCACTCTGTGACTACACTGCTAACCTGTAGAAGTTGTTAGTGTCACCTATGGAGATTTTTAAGTACCGCAGTTTGACGCCATTCCACCAGCGTGCGCGATTTTAAAGCGTGACATGTTGGGTATCTATTTACTCTGCGTAACATCATCTTTCATATTTTACTAAAAAAATTGAGGAATATATATATATATTTTTTTTTTTAATCATTTAGTTTTATTTTTTTTTTAAATGCGTTTGAAAACTATTAGTTTTTAAAAAACTGTCCATTTTGGTTTCCAGCCAAGTGCATCCTGGATTTTCGGTTTCGGCACCAGAATTTTCATTTCAGTGCACCTCTATACTGAATGTATGTAGCACATAGTGTCACCATATTGGGGTCCTTGTTTCCTGTACTTCTGAAGTGGCTCCTATAATGTCATTTAGGGGTCTCTATCAGTGGTGCTCATGCTCCGGGGGAGGGGTACTCTGCAACATAGTGGCCTTTGTGCAGGATGTATGGTAGGCCTCCTTGACTCCCAGCCCCCCTCCCTTCCCCCTTCCATGCTGATTCGTTGAGGGCTTGCTCCTCCATTGTAAGGGTGTTTAACACTTGGGTGTCCAAATTCTATGTGTGCATGTCAAGGGTCTCCTCCCCCAAATCATGGAGGCAGTGGGGAGTAATATAGAGATGCTGCTTATATTGTAGGAGTGGGGAAGCCTGCCTTGCTAGAAATGTGAGAACTGTCATTGTCACCGTCCCATTCTAGATCCCACCATGCTGATCCTCATGGTTTACTACTGTGAGTCGCTGACCCAGAGGAAATGGGCTGACCCTGAAGTCGGTCTGTAGATACTATGAACACTTTTTGCAGGTCAGCAACTTGCTGATTGGTGAAGCTGTAGGGGTCAGCACAAGTGTCAGCCAATCAGCAACTACTATGAAGTAGACAATGGCAGTTGCCTGATGGTGGAAGTGCCAGAGTGTGAGCAGAGTCCATTGAAGCCATCTTTACCAGAAATACCCAGAGTAAGGCTTTGGCAGTTTTATATTGGCTGCTCAGTACGTTTGTACCAAAGCTTGGAGTCCAGTGTCAGCTCTACCTACCCACCACCCAGGGACTTTCCTGAAGTGCTACTTGTGGCCCTATGGATTCCCAGTAGCTCCACCCACTAAGTGTATCCAGTACAGGGGGAGCTGTCATCTACTTTCACTTCCAGGGGAGGTTTTCTATAGTGTAGGCCTGCATTTGTATCTGTTGCCTGTTGTATTTGGGGCACTGGGGGACACCCTCCTAGCTCTCCACTAGTGGGGCCCACAGACTCCATGTGTGATTTTGTTAAAAAATAATAAATACATACAGGCTTGCAAAACCTTTTTGGTGTTTTTTTTTTCTGTGTAAAACTAGTAACAATGCAGGATGGAGAACGGGATAGGAATCAGGCCAGGAGTCGGGAAAGAACCCGCAGGAAACCACAGAGTGTTTTAAATGCAAAATTATTTGAAAACAGTTGGGGGGCAAATCAGAGGAAGCGTCCCATTTAATGTCTAATAGTTTGTAGGGATGTAGACTGTTGACACTGGGGAAAGGGGCACCTCCATATGTATCCAGACCCCCGTGTATGTCCACAGGGGTACCCACATGTATCCAGACCCCCGTGTATGTCCACAGGGGTACCCACATGTATCCAGACCCCCGTGTATGTCCACAGGGGTACCCACATGTATCCAGACCCTGTGTATGTCCACAGGGGTACCCACATGTATTTAGACCCCCCGTGTATGTCCACAGGGGTACCCACATGTATCCAGACCCCCGTGTATGTCCACAGGGGTACCCACATGTATCCAGACCCCCGTATATGACCACAGGGGCACCTCCACATGTATCCAGACCCCCTTGTATGTCCACAGGGGCACCCCCACATGTGTGCAGACCCCTGTGTTTGTCCTCTGGCGCTGCCTATGCAGGCGATCCGTTTTAAGCTCCAGGACCCTGGTGCTGGTAGTTGATGGCATTCTGCAGCCAGCATGGGATGGGTGGACTTGTTCCA